GCCTCAAGATCGGCGTAAATTCATTCAGTTCCACCAAAGTTTCGAATGTAATGCAAGATATAACGAATGATAAAGTAGAGTAAGATTAATTTACAAGCTATACGAAATTAAGTAGGCATAGAATTTAGAGTTAACAGGTAGGTTAGGTTATAAATATATCAAGAATAATCGTAACTGCCTCTATTGTAGTGTTTCACGGATTGATCTAGAGTAGATTCAAATGCCTTAGTTATTAAATTATGCCACGTTGGTTTTGGTCGATTATCTTCGTATAGAAAACCAAATATCCTGGCTTTAAGTTTATTTCTTTATATAATACTTTAATTAGATAAAAAAATCGAAACTTATACATTTGAAGAACAAGCTATTGATAATGATAATGTCTTGTCACAACGTCGTTTGGAGCAATCAAATTCCCGTTCCACACTTATCCTACTCTCTTCTATCGTACAGTAAAACCGCAACCAAGCGTCACTACTCGCTCTACTTTAGCTAAGGGCCTCAGTCAACAGTAAAAGGCGGGCTAGAAGTGTTTGGATAAATTTACTAAACTAACTTTATTAGGTCTGCGTATTTTCCTCCTCCTCAGCGAGGTAAATTACAACCCTTTATATACTTGTACCAAATCTACACCTTTACAACCTGTTAATTATTCTTATACATAACTTAGTCTTTTCTATAGCTTTATAATCCTCTTAATTACTATCGGACAAATATGTGTTAATTAATATTATGCGCTAATAATATTATAGCCCCAATCAACAACTTAAATCCGTTTAAGATCTAACAGATTCCTACAAATGTGACAACCACCATTTTAGCGATTACACGTCATTGGCATATTAAGTACCTTACTTCTACACATTCGATAACGGAAGTCCATTAACGATTGAACCTCACAATTTTTCAACAGATCATAATATTTACAATTATCTAAACTGAACCGTCTACTTCTACTTTAATAACATTATCACATTGTTAATTAATAATATCTTAAACCGAAGCATGTCTTAATTATCATGGAAGAATTATACGAACGCTAACATTTAATAGTAACTGGTGCACAATTAAATACAGCATTGATTCAATTTAATCGCGAATTCAAGGACGATGTGTAATTTCAAATTCTAAAAGTAGGAATTCTTAATTCAAATATGGATAAAGTTTGGGTTAATTTCATTCTTCACTTTTAAATAATCCCTTTTGGTTGAGTAAAAATTTAATAAAAGTTGCAATTTAAACCATTTAATTTTAGTCTTACTCACCGTAGCCAAGCATCAACATGGATTAACATATAGGTCCGATTACTTTTATCTGAAGTATTTTATAAAAGTATGATTAGATATAAGTTAAAAAAGTAATAGTAATTTGATGACAGTTGATAATCATTAAAAGTTTAAGTAGCTTCACTAAAATTGACAGCTGGCAGATATTCTTTAGAATCATAGACCTATCTGAGTATGTTTTGTCTACCAGTGCATGTAGCAGTTATAGTAACATTGATTTGATATAAAACCCGTAATAGTCTGTTCTATTGCGAATTTTTTCGCAAATGTAATTCGATTTAGCCCAACGAAATGATTTTTCTTTACATATTTCCTGCTTAAAAAACTCAGAAAATACGGTAATTTATTCAATTTGTTTTACGGTGATCTATTTGATACGTAATAAGTTGCGCATAGTTGGAGAAGCAGGTTTACTACTCTACAATATGATATCGATGATAAACTCTCGCTTACTTAGGTCACTCTATTATATATTTTTGATTCATCTCAATCAAGCAGTCAATTTACAGGCTGTACTGTATCTTATAAATATATCTTTAGTCTATTGATTCGACACGATATATTAAATATTTTAATTTCGTTTTCTTTACTCTTTGTGTTTATAAATTGCTAGCGTAGCCTGATCTCTTTGTATAACTTTGAATGATGTTTTACCTCATGAGTTATAACTCGTAAAGTGTCAAAAAATGTTTAACATAATTACTTTTAACTTAATTCATTTACTCAGTGTAAAGGGTACAGTAGATTATGAAACTGAAAACAATATTATTTATACATTTATTTAAGATATTACAGTACTCAGAGCCAGTTTTATTCCCG